GAATGCAACATATGTCAACACAAGTGCTCATCTCTGGTCTAGGACTGAGTATGCCCAACTATTCGGGCACCCCGAGTCCAGTTCGCCACCAGCGTTTCGGCGTGTGGTTGGCCATCGTCTTCAGGACCTGCCACAACCAACCACACGGGGCAGGCCGACGCTGACACGAACGACTTTTTGGCCTTCAAAGAAGGGAGGAAACAACTGTGCCCCAAGACCGCCGAGAGACAGACCAAGATCGCCTCCAGGATGGCCGAGATGGCCCACGATTGCCCCGAGACGACTGGACCCGACACCGTCAGGATGGCCCTAGATGGCCTCCAAGACGGTCCGAGATGCCCTCCAAGACGGCCAAGATCGCCTGGAGACGATCCAAGACGGCTCCAAGACGGCCCTGGATGGCCCCAAGAGGCCACGAAGAGGCCAGAAGGCCCCCAGGAGGCCCCAACAGTCCCAAGAGGCCTCCTCCCCCTTCTTCTCGTCCCCCTCCTCCACCTCCTCCTCGCAAAGGCCGTTTTGGTCGAAAGCTGGGCGACTGAGCTCCCAGCCCAGGCAACAAGGGAGCCCGCCCAACGCCGCCTGACCTCGCGCGCAGGCCGTGGCCCGCACCACCGCCGCGGCCGGCCGCGCCTGGCCAACGGCGACGCTGCCGCGCGAGCCCGCCTGGCACAGGTGCGAGCGCGCAACGCGCGCGCAGGCGAGGACCCGTCGTAGGGTCGCCAGCGCAGAGAAGCCCCTGGCACTACGCCACGGCCCGCAGCAGTCCGCAGGCATGGGACCGATATGGGTCGTGGAAGAGTTGGGCAGGCAGCTGGAGGTGAGGATAGATACACAGAATTGCACACCATGTGGCGAGGAGGTCCCCCCCCAATTTTGGTCATGCAGCCGTGGAAGCAGCCGGCAGAAGCAGCAATACCACAGGCAACATCGACACCCTCAACAGGAACGCGACAAGCTTCAACGAGGACGCCCAGGTGCTACGCAGCCTCTACCGACCCAGCAGGAGATGGCGGCGCGACCTTGGAGGCAAAACGATGGCAATGACGGCAATGACCCCATGAGAGCGAAAGGCAGGTCTACAATTGACCAGAGCAGGATCGCCCACTATGGCGACGTCATCAACCAGCACTGGATCCAGTCGCCAGGGAAAGGCGCGGGCGCAAAGTCGTTCAAACAGAAGTGCTGCGACAAACTCGACCGGTTCCCCAGACTGTATGTAGCAGCCGTGGAGGCAGGCACGGAGACGACGACCACCGCGGAAGCCGTCGCCACCGTCAGGCCCGCGCTGCTCCAGACCAAAACCAAGCACGACCAGATCAAGGAACTGCGGCACACAAAAGACCAGATAGACCTCAAGATCCAGAAGACCGAGAAACAGATCGAGGCCCTCAACAACCAGCAGGAGAAGAACAATAAGCAGTACCGCACGCATCGCCACGGTGCAGAAGATGACCGACGACGAGGACCAGGACGACGAAGAGGACGACAATAATCACTGACAACCAATACGTACCTCTTCGATGAGAACCATGACGGAACGGTACGGCAGAGCTACGTCACGACCATCCTCGAGAGCCAAATCGCTGGACATTCCATCGGTGGTGTAGCAAGCGCTGCACACCATGAGCGCGATAAATGAGCAGACGCAAAAACAAGGTGCGACGATGGAGAAGAACCAGAGGGACAAAATACATGCAGAACATAAGGCATTCAGCAGGAGAAGCAGGGCGAAGGAGAACGAAACAGAAAAAGCAACGGGGCGGTTCAAAAAGTTGGAGGAGGAGCTGGAGACACAGTACGCGAACCAGAGGACCAGGGATCGCCGCCAAATCAGAGATCAAGGAAGCACTGGAAGCAGCAATGCTCCAATCTGAAAGACTACAACAACACGCGACAGCAGAAACCGAAATCTTCAAGGTACCCCTCGCCATCAGGAACCAGGACAACTACCACAAGCAGCAAGAGGAAGCAGCCCTCAGGCAAGCAACACGGAGCTAAAGGGGTCCATCAGAAAGCAAGCCGACCGAGAAACCACCATACCAAAACAAGCAGAACTACACGCTCAGTACCTCGAGCAACAGGTATCACGTGCACAACAAGCTCTGCTGGCACTCCGGGAACGTGAAAGGACCCACTCAGAAGCTCGCCAACAACAAGAGGAGCAACAATGATGATGGTGATAACAATCATGATGACGATGGTGGTGATGATGATGCAAATGGTGGACTTGATGATGATGTGATGACCACGGCGATGATGATGGTACTAATGATGCTGTAAGTGAGGATCATGATCATGACGATTCATGTCACTGCCGACCTACCAGGCCTGCCTACCTACCAGACCTACCTACCTAACCCGAAGACCCGAATTTCGGGTTTGGTAGGTAAGGGTTCCACACGTGCTTTCTCTAGCTTCCCCGACCCATGGGAGGCAAATCGGGGCCTTCGGGTTGGGTTTGGATTGTTTGGTGGGCGGTGAGAAAGAGGAGGGGGCGGGAGGGAGGAGGGGCAGGATCGGCGGCGAGCGAGAGGGGGAAGCGAGGAGGAGGCCTTCTTAGCCTTCTTTGAAGGCTCAGAAAGCACCCGGCCTTCTGAGGAGCCTTCTGAGCCTTCACCGAAGACGGGAACAGCTCCTCAGAAGGAGCGAGGGCGAGGCTTCTGAGAAGTCCCGCCGCCTTCTGAGAAGGCCTTCCCCTCCTCACTTCCCCCCTCGCCCGCCGCCGACGGGAGGCAGCAAGCAAAAAGGCAGAGGCGCTTCGGGGGCAGGCCCGAGCCGACGCCAGAACCCACGAGGCCCCCGCGCGGAGGCACCTGCGGAGGGCCGAGCGCGTCTGCGGACACCCTCGGCCTGCGCGGGGCGCCCCGAACGGGGGGGGGGGGGGGGCGCGCAGGGCGCTCAAGCTCCAGAGATGTCCGGCTTCGGCTGAGGTTGCGGAGGGCGGCAATGTGTGCCCTGCTAGCGGGTTGGTGTGGCTTCGAATCTCCCCGTGGCAACCTGGGAGGAGGACGAGGGAAGGGGAGGAGAAGGAGGAGGAGGAGGAGGGAGACGAGGAGGAGGAGGACGAAGACGAGGACAGTGACCATGATACCGGAGGCATCCCAAATAGGGTCGGGGTAGATGGGGTCGGAATTTCGCGCCGCATCGCCGACGCATCGGTTTGGTTCAGCCTCGAGTTATCATGCTTTTCCAACAGTGCGGGCGCACTTTTGGAGCAAGTGTGTGATTAACGCACGTGCACATACACAATCGATTTACCCACGCGCTCCGCGCACGTATAATTTCGCTGTATCAAGTGACATGCTTACGAACGCCGTGCTGTCCGATCTTGCTTCTCCTGCTTCCCCTCGCACGTATCCATCATCCCTGTTACGTCCTGTCTCATATCATAGCCATCGTCCTCCGCATTTTCCCCTGCCTCATCCTCGTCTCTCCTGCTTCCCCGTGCTCGTACTCTCGCACACTTCCCTGCTTTTGCTCATGCTGTCGTTGACACTCCCGCCACCATTCTTGCTTCAATAATATGCTCGCTGCCACACTCGAACGTGTGGTCTTACCAGTGCTCCGAATACTAGAATTGCTAGTGGGCGGCTTCCCCAGCCGATGCTCAGGTCGGGCGTGTCCTCCTACAGGCAGATTTGGGAACAAAAACGAAACAAAGTCAAAACATATTCAGGCATGTTCGAGAGAAGTCGAATCATCGCCCCTGACTATTTCAATCGTCCCCTGACGATTCTTGTATATCGCCCTTGCATCCTTGCCTTTCGGCACATCCTTGGCCGCTTTCGCTGGCCGCGCCCGCTCGCAACGTGTCGGCACGGCCTTCCAAGGCCTATGCGTCCTTATCGCGCGCCATTATTACACGGGCTGCTCCTCCTGCAAAGGGACAGGCCCCAACGCCAGCCGAGGCCCCAAACCCTCCCAGACCCCGCGCCCGGCAGACAGCCCCTCCCCCCCTTTCCCCCCTTCCTCCCTCCGGTCTCGGGGGAGGAAGGGGGGTTTAGGGGGAGGGGGAGGAAAGGAGGAGGAGGAGGAGGAGGAGGAGGAGGAAGGAAAGGAGGAGGAGGAGGAGGAGGAGGAGCCAGCGGCAAAGCGAGAGGAGGAGGACCGCGGAGGAGGAGGAGCGGAGGAGCAGAGGGAGCGCAAGGAGGACCCCCCCCCCCCTTCCTCTCCTGCCCCTGCTGCGGCGACCTGCGGGCACACTCGTGAGATTCGAGGGACATCCTCTGACCAACTCACCCCCTAAGAGGCCTCCCATTGAGGGATAAGAAAACGACCCTACCCTGGGTTACAAGCGCGTGGTCTGTAAACCTCCTGGGAACCCCCAAAAGCCTAGAGCCGCCAGGACGCGGCACATCACGCAGGGTTTACCCTGTCAGCCCGCAGGAGTTTCAGCGCACAGCGCCTCGCAAACCAGGGTAGGGGCGTTTTTTATGCCCTTGATCCCAGAGGGGGTCCGAGTAGATGGGGTCGAAGGATCGCGCCGCATCGCCAATGCATCGCCGATGTCTCGGCGATGCATCGGCGACGCATCGGCGACGCATCGGCGATGCATCGGCGACGGCGGCAAGAGAAAATCGGGCCCCGCATCCAGCCGCATCGCCGATGTCGGCGATGCGGCGCGCGATCCTCTGACCCCGTCTGCTCCGACCCCATCTGGGAGGCCCAGAGACCAACCCGTGGCCCCGGTCCTGGCCGGGCCCAGGATCGTGGCTCCAGAACCGGTGCGCACGCCTGCCCCGCTTGGCGAGGGGGGGCATACTCACACGGAGCCCGGGCCCAGGATCGCCCTTGCCAGGTGACAAGGTGGGCCGGGATGCATTCCTGGACAGCATCCGCCTGGCAAGCTGCAGCGAGGGCGCATGAGACTGCACATGCTGGTGACCTGCGAGCGGGGAGGAGGGGGGAGGGAGGGGCGAGGAGGAGAGGGGCGAGGGGGAGTCACAGGATGCGCAATTGGCAGCAGAGAGAAGTACAAGTTTTGCGCCCCGCAGGAATGGCTACACCACTTCTCGCTGGACCATCGCAGCTAGAGACCCGCTTTTTGTCAGCGCCATGCCCATGCTCGACTGCCCCCCGACAAAGCACAAGCCCCGCTGCTGCAGCAAGGGAAGAGGACGAGGACCAGCTGGACACCTGCTTTTCGTTAAGACCCCCCCCGTACTCGACAACTTATCCCTACCAGCACGCCGCAACATAGGAGCAGAAACGGCAACTTGCGCTTCGCTGCACGTCATAATCGAAACACGCGATCTGAACCCGTGTCCAACTCATGCGTTACTTCGAACGGTTTCATGAACAACATCCGCCGTCGCTGCACGGAGTGGGCGTGTTAGAATGCTCCAGCGGTCCCCCTGGGAGCGTTTTTCAATGATTTCTAAGGCCGACGCCCTCCCCGGTTCGCACGCGCTCCTGCAGACCGCTCCCCCCTCGAATTGCTTCGTCGGCGCTCTTTTCGGCCTCCACACGGCCAAGATGGCCTCCGAGAAGGCTTCCAAGACAGCCAAGACGACACCACAACGGCGCACGCTGGCCCAAGGCGGCTCAAGAGGCTTCCCCAAGACAGCCCTCCAGGATAGCCCGAGGAGGCGAACATCAGCAACATTCCATAGGTTGTTGCTAGATTTTGAAGTTCTCGATTGTTGGGGCTTCCGACCGCCCAATACGGCCCAAGAGGCCTCCAAGATAGCTCCAAGAGAGCCCACCAGGAGGCCCCCCAAGTCGGCCCAAGGAGACCCCAGGATCGCCCAAGAGACCTCCAAGAGGGCCCCAAGGCGGCCCTAAAGCGCTCCAAGAGTGCACTGAGACGGCCCAGAGAGGCCCTCAAGACGGCCTCCGAAGGCGTGACACAGGCTACGAGCTTCCCAGGACGACCCAAGAAGCCCCAAGAGGTCCAGGGAGCAACCAAAAGTGCTCTAAGAAGAACACCCCCCCCAGGAAAGATCGAGGAGAAGCTCTCGATTGTTGGGGTTTCCGATCGCCGAATGCCGCCCAAGAGGCCTTCAAGAGTGCTCCCAGGCAGCCCAGGGGGCCCCCAAGAGACCCCAAGTTGGTTCAAAAGGACTCCAAGACCGTCCAAGAGGCCACCAAGGGGGCCCCAAGACGGCCTCAAAGCGCTCCAAGCAGGCACCAAGACAGCCCAAACAAGCCCCCACGACGGCATCCAAAAGCGCCAGACGAGCCAAGAGCTCCCCAGGACGGCCCACGAGGCCCCAAGAAGCCTCCAGGAGGCCCCAGGAGGTCCCCAGGAGGCCACCAAGAGACCCACGGGAAGCTCCCAGGTCCCAAGGAATGAGCCCATGAGTCCTTCTCCTCCTCGTCTAGGGGGCCACATGCGAACCCTACCCCTACCCCCCACGACTTCTGAGGGGGAGGGTGGGGTTCACTTCGTTCGGGAGCTCCCGAGCGAAGTGAACCCCACCCTCCCCCTCAGAAGTCGTGGGGGGTAGGGGTAGGGTTCGCATGTGGCCCCCTATCGTCTTCACCTGGTCAGTCTCCTCTTTCGCCTCCTCTTCCCCCTCCCCTCCCCGCCTTCCACCACACCGCACGGGCGAAAAAGAGGTCGAGACCGCGACCCTTCCCACTTTGGACAACTTGCTGGACTGCCGCGGGGCGTGAACTCGACCCCCTTCCTGGCCGCGCCGACGAAGACGAGATCGAGCTCACGACCCGACCCAGCTCAGACCAGCCGTCGGAATTGCGCTGCTCCTGCACTCGGTCTCCTTCCTGCTGCGCTGCTGCACCGGCACAGTGGCGGGGCCTGCCGCCAGCAGTGCTTGGCATTCGTGACCGGCATGCCGAATCGAATCCACCGAGCAGAACTACGACGGCACCCTGGCAGCCAGCACAGTGAGGGCGCGGCCGCAAGACACCCTCGCAAGAAACCCAGGCCTGAAACCCGCGCGCGAGGTGCGCCCGAGAGGAAACCGGGAGCACCCGGAATGCAGCAGCTTCTTCAACGGCTGCGGGAAGTCACCGCGCAGCGCGCGGAGCGGAGAGACCCAGGATCCCCTGACGAAAAGCACATGGTTTCTTGATGCAGGCCAACGCTGTACAGTCGGGGCGTTGACCTAAGGAACGATAACTAAGGAACGAGGCCCCTTTTTCCCATACGTTAAACTCAGTTTTTCCATGAGAAACCTGGGAAAAAAACCCAAGGAGCGCTGTAAAACAACTAAGGAACACGGAGCCCCTCCCAAACTCAAAGGGTTCCTTCTTCAGCGGCCCGACTGTATTCATGGAGTGACGAGCAACGAAACAGTCTCCTGCAGCATCGGCGGCCTTCAGGGGCGTCGCGAGCACAACCACCGACTTCTGGAGCCGCGCGACCGCGAGGAACGGCTCCTCGGAGGGGAATCGAACGGGCGCACGAGCCCCCTCGCCCCGGCCCCCTGGTGCCGGCCGCCAACCGGGTCGCCAGCACGATGGAGCTCTCGACCTCTGCCTGCCCCAGGCTGGCTGAGTCGGCTTGGGACGGTCGCGGGGCACGGGAACAGCAGTTTGGCGACGGGCCTCGCCATGTGAGGGTGTGCGTGGCGCACGGCGTGCCCCTCTCTCCATATAATTACCGCTCGCCGCGGGACAGCGCAAATAGGGACCGAGCGCGGGAGCGCACGCTGCACCAGCCTTCGCATCTGCACTCAGCCCACGCTCGTGCGCTTCGGACAGGCTTCCGAGACGGGAGCGCCGGATGCCGCCATGGGGCCACCGAGGCAGGGCAGGGAAGGAGGTATACCAGAAGACTCGGTCAAATCGCTGGCCGGGCAGGCAAGAGGCGCGACAAAGCATGCAGTCAGGTGAGACAGACAATGTGGCTGCGTTGGTGCTCAGTACCGTCGGGGCGTTGACCTAAGGAACCCAAAATAAGGAAGGAGGCCCCTTTTCTCCAGAAGTTAAACTTCGACTTCCCATCGAAAACGTAAGGAAAACCTGAGGCAAACTGTGAAACAATCAAGGAACACCGAGCCCCTCCCCAGCGAAAAGGCTTCCGTCTTCAGCGCCCCGACTGTAGTCCGAGCGCGAGGAACCGCGGACGGGACCGCCGATTCTCGCGCAGCGGCCCGCGCCTGCCATCGCACAAAAAGGACTTCTCGGAGGGCCAGGAAGAGTTCTCGCTATCGCTCGGACGTCCATTCCCCGTGCACTGTTGGTATCGTGCATGTTTTTGCCGGATGATCTACTGAGGATGCAGCACCTCGATGGTCCTCGCTGAGACAAAATGCGCAGGTCCGAGCGAAGCCAAGGGTCGGCGCTGGACCCCCTCCCTGGTGCGCGGAGCGCGCCACGGGCGGCGCCAAAAACCCGAAGAAAATCCAGCAACGACCCGAGAAACCTGCAGAAAGCCGACACCAGCACCAAGAAAGTATTTGTTCCACGAAATGTCGAATTGCGTTTTGGACCAGCGCGAGCCCGCCCTGGCCCGAGGAATCGCAGAGTGGGCGAGGAGGACGGGGGAAGGGAGACGTCGCGCAACACGCAGGAGGGAAAGCAGGAAATAACAAGTGCAAGCGAGAAGCGAAACTAGCGGGCGCTCGCGGGAGAAGAGGGAGAGAAGAGGGAAGGCTGCGGCATCCCCCATGGCTGAAGCTTCACTCCCCCCACCGCCGCCCTCCACCACGCCTACCCCCGCCCGCCCGCCCCCCTCTCATTCCCCCCACGCCTCACCCACCCTATGTCCGCCCGCGTCGCATCCCTGACCCTCGTCTGGCCCGACACCAAGGCCCGACGAGTTCGAATCCGCCGCTCTCTGCGAAAGGGGGCGGTGGCCGCCCGTCGCGGCCTGGGCATAAGACCGTGGCCCCCTCTTGACCCAAGCCCGCAGCCCGTGGCAACCTTCCGAAATCGTCGAGGGGTTCAGCTCGCACATGGGGCCGCCGTTCCAGCGGGGGTCTTGGTGCTGGTGTCGGCTTTTTGATGTTGCAGGGAACAAAAAGCCGGCACCAGCACCAAGACGCCACTGGAAAAGTTCGGAGCGCTTTCCCTGTGGGGGCTGAGCGACCCAACGAAGCCAAGAAAGCTTGGGATGGCTCGCATTGCTCTCCGATTTTGCAAGCCACGGTGCTTCCATGATAGGGAAACGTCCCATGCAGCTCATGGCGCCCCTGAGGCCCACGGGGCTCCCATGGCCCGCGGGGTTTCCAAGGCTCAGAAACCAGATGTGGCCCTGACGAGTCAGGGAGCCAATGGTGCCCGCGCGGCATGCTGGGCCAGCGCGGCGCGTTGGGCTTATGCGCGCTGCGGCGCACGCTCGGCCCATGAAGCCCTTTGTGGAACTTGTGGGGTTCATGGGGCTGGCTGGGTTCGCACGGCCCACGGGACTCGCGCGGCCCATGGAAATCCTAACGCTCACTTGGGGAACTGGAGACGGCCCGTTATGTTCCCACGCGCTCAGAGCTGGCATTCATCAACTCTGGACACGCGAACCCGAAGACACGGGCGACGGCATTCAACAGAGGCTGCAATGTTTTCTTTTCTAGTGGCTTCTTGGTGTTAGTGTCGGGTTCCTGTGCGCCATGCTTTGCAGTGTGATAGCGAAGTTTGCCTGATGCCCCCAGGTGGTGTCCGGCCCGCCCAGAAATCAGACGCGCGCGATTCTCTCACAGCGCGAACCCTGGACATTTGGACCCCTTCCCCAGAAGCAGCGTATCCCAAATAGTTTTGTCCGGCGGCGAGCACAGGGGGCAAGTGCGACGGGGCGGGCCTCCTCAGAAAGCTCGGAAGCCCCCCAGCCTTCTGAGAAGTGTTCTGAGCCTTCCCCGAATGCTCTGAAAACCTCTCAAAGGCGCGAGGGCATCTGAAGAGCCCCGCTGCCTTCCGAGAAGGCCTTCTCCGTCTCATTCCCCTCCTCGCTCCGACTTTTGACCTCTTTGACGGCCCCGGGGCCCGGTGAGGGCCCCCAGAGGCAGAACACTGCCCGAGTCCGTCCGCCCTGCTCTGAAAAGACGAACGGAAATGGGGGCTGCTGCTTCTCCCGACCCGTCTCGCCCCCCCCCCCCCTGCCGGCCCCGCTGTCCTTCTGGAGCTCCGGGTCCTTCACCTCCCGAGAGGAGGAGGGGGGAGGGCACGGAGCCGACGAGGCCGCGCGCGCCAGGACGGGGGGGGGGCGGGGCGCTCCTCCTCCCCAAGACGAGGATCAACGCACGGTGCACGACGGGCGCAAGACACGTTCTGGGAGTTCTGGAATTCCTAGCGGCACTCGGCTGTTCGTGCTCGGTCATCTGCCTGTGGCAGCGTAACACTGTCATTACGTAACCTCTCGCTACTCTGATTCCTCCTCCGCCACGCGCCTCTCTCCCTCTACTAGTGTTCCAACCTCCCCCTCGTCCTCCCTCACCCCTCACACTGGCCGATCCAGAAGAGCGGGATAGCAGAGGGTGTTCCTGCCAAGTACATGCGATTATTGATGCACGTGGACCCACACTGGCACCAATCAGACGTTCTGGCTCACTTGGCGGTGAGAAGGCGGCAGAATATCGTGGAGAAGGGGCAAGAGACCGGAGGGCTCGGAGGAGGATGAGGAGGAGGAGGAGGAGGAGGGTGAGGAAGAGGAGAAGGAGAAAAAAACAAAAACAGATCATGCCGCCGCAGGGTGCCAAAAGATGCTGGAAGCTTCTTGGGGGCACCAGAAGGACCCGCCCGCGCGCACCCGCAGTGGGCACAATCGGCAGGCCAGCGAACGGTGAGGCGCTCCCGTCGGGGAGACGCAAGACTCGGGATCGGGTTAGGTCGGGCATGTCCCCCTACATGCAGATTAAACATATCCTCTTGGAGAGGGACACGCCCGACCGAAGGTTCGGGGGACTCGGGTTGGCCTGACGGGGCCATCATGAAAATGACGAAATCCAATCTGAAACTTGACGGAAACTGGACCGTCGAAACAGAAGACGCGCTCGCCATCGTCAAAAAGCGTCGGCCAACCCGAGTTCCGGCGCACTCGAGTCTTACGTTTTCCAGGTCCCGCCTCCCTCCCCCCCGCGCTCCCTCCAGCCTTAGGTCGGGCATGTCCCCCTACAGGCGGCTTTTGGACGAAAAATAGGGTATGTCCCCCCTACAGGCGGATACCCCAAAAAATAATCAATACCCCAAAAATAATCAAAAATCCGCCGATCCGGCGTGTAAGTTTCAAGGAGTCTCAGCTACAGCCTCGAGGCTGAGCCTCAGCCTCTGGGGGGGTTGCCGGGGTGGCTCTGCCGGGGAAGGGGGGGTGGGGGGGGGGGGGACGAGTTTTCCGGCGGTCGCGGGGGGCTGCTTTTACAGAAGGCTCTAATCTCGAGGATGCGCTAAAAGGGTGGCCGCGGCCGCAAAAGTCTCTGAGGACGGTCTAAGAAAGTCCCGAGACCCCGAAAGATCGCCCGAACACGCCCAAGATGGCCCCAAGACGGCCCAAGAGCCTTCCAAGATGTCTGACGAGGCCTCCAAGAGGCCTCCCACGAGGGCCCCCAGAGGCAAAAATCGCTGATTTCCATTAGTTGTTTTTCATGTTCTTGGGCTTGTCGTTTTTGTTTCTGCTTTCCGACGCTCCAAGACGGCCCAAGAGGCCTCCAAGACCGCTCGAAGACGGCCCAGGAGGCCCCCAGACAGTCCCAAGACGGCCCAAGAGGGCCCCAAGGCGGCCCAAGAGCCGCCCAAGACTGCCCAAGAGGCCCCCAAGATGGCCCCAAGAGGACCCAAAAGAGGGACGAAAAGCGGAACAAATCTAGCCTTCCAGCCCACGAGGCCCCCAGAAGGCCACAGAGTCCCCAAGAGAGCCCCCCAAAGCCCCCAAGAAGCACCCACGACGCCCTCACAGGCTCCTGTGCGAGTGTCTGTGTGTGGTGCGTGTCTGCGAATGTCTGTGCGTGCTAGTGTCTGGCGTGTGCCTAGTGTGTCTCTGTATGTGTGTCTGCCGTATGTGCATTTGGTCGTGTGCGTGCGTGATGTGTCCGCGTAATATGTGTATCCGAGCGACCCGGATCGGCGGCACTGGCCGAAGGCCACTACAATAATCAAAAGTTCGTCCCCATCATATTCTTGGACTATTTTTGAAAATATTCATCCTAGGAGGAGGAGGGAGGAGGAGAGAGGAGGAAGAGGAGGAAGAGCAGGAGGGAGGAGGGAGGAGGGAGGAGAGATGAGGAGGGGGTGAGGAGCACTCCCTCCCCCCGCCGAGCCTTGCACGAGGTGCCGTCGCGCAAAACGTACTCGCCGCCGCCGCCGCGCCGCGCGACGCGCTCCGGATACGCCAGGGCCAGCAGCGGCCCCTGACCGCCCAGCAGGTCCCCCATGGTGCTCTTCTCCTCCTCCTCCTCCTCCTCCTCCTCCTCCTCCTCGTCCTGCTGCTCTAAACTCCTGCCTCCGCTCCTGCAAAGCATCATCCTCCATGCGTCTCCGTCGCCTCCGCCTCCCCACCCTCTGGTTTTTCTTCCTGCTCCTGGCTCCTGCTGCTAACTCCTCCTCTTGGTCCAACCACTCATCCTCTTGCTGCTGCTGCTGCTGCTCCTCCTCACGATTCCTCCTGCTCCTTCTACTCCTCCTTGCTTTCAACGGACAGATTCGACATCTTCCTCCTGCCTCCTCCTGCTAATCATCGGTTTTCCCGTCACCCTGCCACTGCAACTGCGGGTGACTCTCTCACATGTGTTCGGCTGGGCCAGCTGACTGTCTGACCGTAAGGGATCGAAGAGCTGCGACGTGCATGCCGCGTTCGAACTGGGACACGGCGAGCAGGTCGCGCCCGCCGCCCCAGTGCACCATGCGTGAGAGTGTGTGTGCAGATGGGCGCTGGGGGCGCCCACGGGCGGGGAGGGGCAACCAAGAGGAGGTTCGCAAGCCGTGGCCCGAGGCATCTGCGCCTCCCAGGGGGGGGGGGAAGAGGAGGGGGGCGAGGGGGGGCATGCTGAGGGGGAAGGCGAGGGAGGGGGGGCGAAGGGGAAAGGTAGGGGGGGCGAGGGGGCGAGGGGGGGCGAGGGGGCGAGGGGGGGCGAGGGGGGGAGGGGGAACAGGAGGCGCGCTGAAAGAAGAACAAGGGGGGCATGACATCTGGGGAGACAGCATGGCCCCGGCCATGGTAACTATCCACAAACCCGGGTCCTCACCCCCACCTCGCCGACGGGAGAAAATAGTTATCGAAGGGCCAGCGAAACCTTCCTCCACCCCTATTCTGGAGGCTTGCTGGGTGGGGTCCGAATCGACGGGATCGGAGGGTCACGCCGCATCGCCAGTGCATTGGCGATGCATGGTCGAAACGTCGGCGATGCATCGGTGACGTCGGCGATGTATCGGCGCCATCGGCGTGGAGAAATTCTGGCTCCACAGCCGCATCGCGGTTGCATTGGCGTTGCGGCGCGATCTTCCGACTCCATCTGCTGCGACCCCAACTGGGGGTAGATCTCCCCTGGTCATACTCGGGGCCCCCGAAACCGCGTGGTGGCGGACCGCGCGGCGACCTCGGAATCCCCAAAGACTGCACCGCGCGGTCCGCCACCGCACGGTCTTGGGACCCTGGAGGCCCCAGTCGCCCGAGACTTCCTCGGAGAACGACCCGAATCTCGAAATCAAGTGGTGACCCCGAGACCCCACTGACTCACCACAGCTGGGGATTCCCGAACCCAAACATCTGATTTGTTCAATGCATGTCTCGATGCCCCCTCCCTGGGGGTAATTGTTCGTCCCGGGGTCCAGTCTTGAAGGTCCCGGGGCCCAACAACCGGCCTCGGGAGCCGAAGCGCCAGAATGGGAGCAAATCGTATCATCGGAAAACTGGGAAGCAGGCCGACCCTTCCCCGGCCAGTCCTCACCCGCCTCTCCGACGCCCCCGGCACATCATAGCGACGCGCACAAGGATGCGCAAGGGGGGGGCAAGGCTTTTCAGGAGGCTGCTTCTCAGAAGGCGCCGGGCTGTTGCATCTAAATACAGACGAGGCCCGCGCCTTGTGAGAAGCAAGGGTGCTTCTAAGAGGCCCTCCCCCCTCCCGCCCCCCTCTTGGACGCCCGAGTTATCCGGGATAATTCTGGCCTGGGGCAGCTCCAGCTCGGGCCCCCGAGGCACAAACCAGCAGTTCCCCCCGCGACCGCCCCCAGCCCCAGATGGTTCGGGAGTGGTTGGACGCTCGAAAGATCTGGGATAACCCCGGTCCGGGGCAGCTCCGGCTTGGGCCCCCGAGGCACGAACCAACAGCTACCCCAGACCGCCCCCAGGCTCGATAGTTCTAGAGCGGATGGGCGCCCGAAAGATCTGGGATAACCCCGGTCCGGGGCAGCTCCGGCTTGGGCCCCCCCGAGGCACGAACCAACAGCTACCCCAGACCGCCCCCAGGCTCGATAGTTCTAGAGCGGATGGGCGCCCGAAAGATCCTGGATAACCCCGGTCTGGGGCAGCTCCAGTTTGGACCCCCGAGGCACGAACCAGCAGTTCCCCCCCCCCCCCGACCGCCCCCAACCCACGATGGTTCGGGAATGGTTGGGCGCCCGAGGGATCCGGGATAACCCCAGCTTGGGACAGCTCCAGCCCCCGAGGCACGAACCAGCAGTTCCCCCCCCCCGACCGCCCCCAGCCCCCGATGGTTCGGGAATGGTTGGGCGCCCGAGGGATCCGGGATAACCCCGGTCTGGGGCAGCTCCAGCCTGGACTCCCGAGGCACGAACCAGCAGTTCCCCCCCACCCCCCGACAGCCCTCAGCCCCCGATGGTTCGGGAGTGGCTGGGCGCCGGAAGTATCCCGGTTGACCCTGGCCTTGCGTTGCTCCCATAGCACTTAAGGACCACATCCCAGAAATAATCTCGAGCACCCAGGAAAGTATCGAACCAGCGTCGAACGAGTATCGCCTCCCAGGGCCCGACGCGTGACAACCCTCCGGTTTCGGTACTTGCTTGGTGCTCGAGCCTCTTCCTGGAGCATCCGGCCTGGGCCCCCGGGGCACGAGGATGAGGAGGAGGAGGAGGAGGAGGAACAGAAAGGAGGAGGAGAAAGGAGGGTGATGATGGGGACGAGGGCGAGGAGGAGGAGGAGGAAGGAGGAGGAGGAAGAGGAGGAATGTACTTTCTTGGTGCTCGAGACTCTTCCAGTCCGGGGGCAGCGCTGGCCTGGGCCCCCGAGGCACGGGCCAGCAACTCCCCCCCCCCGACCGCCCCCAGCTGCCAGTGGACTCTCGGAGCTCTCTGGCCCTCTGCGCGTGGCTGGCCCTGCCTGGCAGGGCTCGGCCGCAGCAGGGCGTCTCGCTCTCGCCGTGGCTCTCGCTCTCCCTCGCGCTGTCTCCGATCGTCGACTCTGCGGCGAAGCGACACCGGAGCGAACACGCCCACGGAATCGCCAACAAAACACCGTTTAGGCTGGGCCCCTACTCCTCCTCGTCCTCCCCCTCCTCCTCCTGCCCGTCCTCCCCATCTGCTCCGCCGCGTTAGTTCTTCGCGAAGAGGGCCGCTGGGCTTCTCGGCCCCTTCCCCAGGACCGACGTTCCGACCTGAAATGTCGCTGCTGAAGGGGCCCAGGGACACACGCACAAATGCACACACACAAATGCCAGGATCCCCCGACTTCACGAGTTCGGAAGTTGAGGGGTGAGATCGCAGTGGAACGGAGACCCCCAACCAGGAAATAGTTTCGTGTTGTTCGTGTCGTGCGTGCGGGCGAGGCGAAGCTGCGTTGGCGCGCGAGAGGAATGAACCCGCCGTTGCTAGGGCGAAGTCACGACAAATGATTCTCCCCCTCCCGCCCGACCGGCGGTGGCCCCCGGTGTCCTGCGGTGTCCTGTGGTGTCCCGTGGTGTCCGCCGTTGCGAGGGCGAAGTCAATACATATGAGTCTCCCCCGCCCGCCCGTCTGGCGCGGTCCCGCGGTGTCCCGTGGTGTCCCGTGGTGTCCCGGTGAGTGAGATCGACAGTGAGATCGATAGTGAGATCGATAGTGAGATCGATATGGTGCCCCGAGGTGTCCCGTGGTGTCGCAAAAAGTGAGATCGATAGTGAGATCGACAGGTGTCCCGTGGTGTCCCGTTGATTGAGATCGATAGTGAGATCGATAGTGAGACCGATAATGAGATCGAGAGGTGTCCCGTGGTGTCCCGTTGAGTGAGATCAATAGTGAGATCGATAGTGAGATCGACAAGTGTCCCGTGGTGTCCAGTGGTGTCCCGTCGAGTGAGATCGATGGTGAGATCGATTGAGTCAGATGTTGGTTCCCACCCGTCTTCCCCACACACACAACCTCCTTATCACCCGAAGGGTGATCGTATAAGTAGGCTATTAAATCTCGCCACCCCCATCTACTCTCCGTGCTTTCCTCGGGCGGGTGGTCGTGGGGAGTGGCCCACATGGGGGGAAAAGCAAAAGGCTCTCAATGGGCACCGTATAGGGTCCCTCTTGGGCACCCACCGCCTCCAAACAGGGTCAGGGCCTTTTTCTTCACCCCCCCATCCAGGTCACCCCCCCTTGCCACCCGCCCGAGAAAGTATGGGAAGTGGATGGGGGAGACAAAATGTGGGGTGAAGAAAACACCCCGAGTGGGCATCTCAAGATCCCTTTTGGGCACCCACCGGCTCCGAAACAAGCTTGGGGCCTCTTTTTTTGTGTTTACCCCCCATCTGGGCCACCTCCCGTTGCCGCCCGCCCGAGGTCCATACCATACTTTTCGCGGAATCGACGATTGACCGGGGCTCTTCTGACCTGGGTCAATCCAGACCCGGGTCAGCCAGGTCTTGCAAAAAATCCTGCAAGCTCCTGCACCCAAGCCCGGGTCCATGCGCAGGATCCTGCAAGATCCTCTAGGATCCTGCGCCCGAGCCCGGGTCAATGCGCCCCTGGCCCTGCAGGATCCTGCAAGATCGGGCGCGCCCTGGCTGACCCCCGTTCGCATTGACCCCCGTCTCGAGGCTCCCGACTTGATTGTGCCTGCGTGCTTCCGGGCCCCGCCCCCGCCCCGCGCCGGGTCCACCACCGGCAGGCTGCCCGCGGTGCCCGGCAGCCTGCGGCGCAGCTCGCTGGCCGAGCGGAGGGCCTCGGCCCGCCTGCGCCGGCGGTTGTCGCCGCCGCCGCCGCCGGCGTCGCCGCCGCAGCGGGGAAGGGAGAGGGGGGTGGAGGAGGGGGAGGGGGAGGAGGAGGAGGAGGAGGAGGAGGAGGAGGAGGAGGAGGAGGAGGAGGAGGAGGAGGAGGAGGAGGAGGAGGAGGAGGAGGTGGAGGAGGAGCGCCAGTACACTTCGGAGGAAGGGGGGGGGGGGCGGAGGATCCTGTTGGGTTTTGCTGCGCAGCCCCGCGAGCTGAGGCAGCGCGCCGCGCGGCGGGGCCGTCGGCGGAGGCAGGCGGGGCCACGCGGTCGCTCAAAGGGCGCCAGCCGCGCTGCCGACTCTTCGGGGGAGGTCGGAGGGAAGACGCACGTGCTCACCTTTGGACGCCCGCAACGGGTACGGAGAGACTGGGTACACTTGAAGGGGCCCCAGGACACACAAATAAATACACACAAATAAAGAGATTCCTCATATTTCCCCATATTTTCTCTGTTTTTGTCTTCCCCCCCACTTCCCATATTTTCCCATATTTCCTGGCACGTGCTCATCTTGACGCCATCTCTCGGACGTCCATTCCCTGTGCATTCTTCGATGCCGTGCGTGTACTGTTTCGTAAGGTGACCCACAATGCTCTTCGATGGTCCTCGCCGACAAAAATGCGCAAGCCCGAGCGATGCCAAGTCTTTGGACGCCCGGAATGGGTACGGAGAGAATGGGTACGATGCCCAACAACAAATGTTGTCCCAAACCAACAGCGGCCGCTGTTGGACAGGCGGCCTTCTGTCTCGAGTGGACACAGGCCGCGGCGGCGTGGACAGCGAGTCCTGTTCAAGATGAACAGGAACTGCTGTTGGGCATTGTACCCATTTTTTCCGTACCCATCTCAGGCGTCCAGATCATCTGCCCCGAAATCAATGCTTGCACAGCCGCTCCCAACAATTCCGCCAGTCGCTCCTTCAACTCGGGACGGGGGGGGAGCTCGGCTGGCTTGCAGCATCAAGCGCAATGGCGGTCATCGCAGACACAGGTGGGCCACGATAGCTCGGACACATTCATCTTTGAATTATTTTGAGATCATCCCCCTTTAGCGAGTGTGGGGTGGGGAGGCGGTGCGCTCCTTCTGTAACCTGCCATCTGTTGTGGCAGTGCAACCACAATGCATGCAAAAATCAAACCGAACACATTCACCCTGGTCAGGCGGCGGCTATTGTGAAAGCGCACGGCACCAACCCGCACCTCTCGCGAGATCGCCTCGATTTCGCCACCATACTCAGGAGGTAAGACCAGCTCACGATCCGCATCCAGCCGCTCGACGAGGGACGGATCGCACGGGGTCGAGACGACATTGACCAGATGGCCCCTCGGGAAGATCACTCTACACTTCTTGCACCTCCAGCGGCCAGCAAACGAGAGTAGCTCGTGGGCACTGGAGGCGACAGCAGAGTCGAATGTCGCCAGTTTGCGAAGTTTCTTGACACCAAGGGTTCTTTCACCGACCCAAGCTTCAACCTCGAGCGCCATTGGTGAGAGCGTTCCGGAACGCTCTGGAAAGGATCTGTCCTCGTTCTAGCCCCGGCCGAAAGAGGCCATCTGCCATCTTACGAGGTCCTCCGCCTTCTTAAGAGGGCGGCCCCCTTGTGCGCACCGTCACCGAAAGCGTATTTGGGATTCTGTTGATCTCGTTGTACTTGAGGAGCACATCCCAGAAATAATTCCGAGCACCCAGAAAAATATCGAAACAGTGTCGAACGAGTATCGCCTCTCAGGGCCCCATAGATGAAAACCCTCAAGTTTCGGTACTCTCATGGTGCATGGAATTATTCATGGTGACCCAGGCTTAAATAGGTTGGAACAAAATAAATTTGGGGCTTCATGGGGGCTCCAAGGCAGGAGCAGTCACCAGCGAATCGAGAAACCAGATCGCATCGGAATATGCTTCGGATCGCACCGCCTCTGCATGGAGTCGGGCTCGAACGTGGATCGGCGGCGCGGGGCCCCCACGAGAATCCCACGAGAGAGATGCGCAGCGGCGCCCTGCGAGCACTGGGCTCGCACCGCAGCGCCGAGAGTGTGGACATCGGGACGGATCGCGCCAGCCAGCAGCGCAGCTCTGCTGAAGGGGCCCCAGGACACACAAGTAAATGCACACAAATAAACAGATCCCCCATCTTTTCCAATCTTTTCTGGGTGTTTGTGTCCCCCCCACTTCCCACATTTTCCCATGTTTTCCTGGGAGTCGACGATGGATTGTGTCTGTGTGTTTCTTTCCCTCCTGATCTGCCCCTCCCTCCCGTCGGAGGGCCACCCTCGGCCCCCGCGCGCTCTCGTTTCCAGGCCGACGGTGGCCACCGCCCTCGCCTCGCGCGCGCTCCGTCCGGCGGTCCAGCTCCTGCCGCTCGCCGAGGCGGGGAGCGCGAGGGGGGGGCAGGCCGGTCGCACAAGGGGCAGGGCTTCGGAGAGACGGCTTCTCGCAGAGCTCCTCAGAGGCCGGAGGCCCTCGGGCCTCCCCGAGGCGGCCCGCCCTCCGAGGCGGGGAGCGCGAGGGGGGGCAGGCCTTCGCACAGGGGGCAGGGCTTCGGAGAGACGGCTTCTTGCAGAGCTCCTCGGAGGCCGGAGGCCCTCGGGCCTCCCCGAGGCGGCCCGCACGCCGTGCCTTCTTCCCCCCGGGGAGCGCGCCGCCGGGGTTCGGCAATGGCGGGGCGCTGGGGGAGCCCAAGAGTGACTACCTACCAGACCACCCCAACCCAACCCGAAGACGTTCCCCGATCCCCCCCCACTGGAAATGGAGGGCAAATTGAGGCCTTCGGGTTGGGTTGGGGTGGTTTGGTGGGTGGTGAAAGAGCACGGAGGCAGGCGCTTCCCCTCCTCTTGACGGGCGAAGAGCGGTGTAAGATAGACTCTTTCGCTGTCGGGGGCGCCTGTCCCAGGGCGGCTGGAAAGTTTAGACCCCTGCGGTGGCACCGTAGGGGTATACACTTTCCAGCCGCCCAGGGACAGGCGCCCCCGACAGCGCAAAAGTTTATCTTATACCGTTCTTCGCTCGCTGATTCTCGATGCAGTAGCAGGCCCGACCACAAGGAGCCTTCCACAAGAGACCCAACCCTGAGACCCCAGGGCGCCCGTTGCTTCTTGGTGTGGGCACGCCACGCCTTCCGCGGCAAAGACCATGGAGGCCCAAGAAACCCAGGGCACCCTGGAGGCGAACAGGCTGCTTCTTGGCCCGGGCCTCCACTGCATTAGAAGAAGAAAAGACCACATAAACATAAACTTTTGGCGCTCCACGCGGATTTCTTGGCTCTGCGCTGGACCCCCCTCCCTGGCGCGCGGAGCGCGCCAGGGGTGGCGCTGGAGGCGCCGCCGGGGGGGGGGGGGCGGCGCGGATCCAAGAAATCCGCGCGGGGCGCCAAAAGATCATGTTCATGTGTTTTTCCCTTCTTCGATGTATGCCCAGCCGCACAGAGTTGGGAGCCGAGCGCCACCACGCGGCAGCCAGTGACGCCACCAAGCTTCGGAGCAGGGGCCAAGGTCGGCAGGCGGGCCACCTTGCATCGGCCGTGTATTGCCATGGGGAGCCAGACTCAGGTCGGGCATGTCCTCCTACGGGCGGTTTTCGGAAGAAGAATGAAACAGACCCCATAAATAACCAGACATAGTCCAGCAAAAGAGCACGAAAATAGGTCACCGGACCAGTTTTTGGACTGTTCTTGAATATCCCTCCTGTAGAGGGACATGCCCGACTTAAGCCCACAACTCTGTAACCAACTCTGCCAAAGTCGTTAACGCGTCATGCCTTGCAGGTTTCGGGGATGGATAGACCTCCCTTTAGTAAAACGTGGTTTAGTGAAAACGACCTGAGGCCCAAACCTGGCGGGCGCAGGCCTGGAAAATAACGGCCACGGCGCCCTCTCGAGAACCGAACACAGACAACTCACTGGTCGACGTGTCACTGTTGGGGGTTCTGTCCACCCCCGAAGGCTGGAATTGTGCAGGAGCCTCCGGAAGCGGAAGAGGAGGAGCTGCATCGGCAGGACCAGCAGCGGAGAGCGCAGACCGGACGAGACGGGGAGCGCAATTATCCTCCCTGCGGGCGCGGCAGGGCCGTGGGCCTCTTCTCTCCTGTCTCCAAGAGCGGTGGCATCAGCAGAAGATCGTGCGCGCACCGGCTGCAGACCTCCTCGCCGCGCTTCGCGCCGCACCCCTCCAGAGATGAATGCTGAGGCCCGGGGGGCGCGGCTGCTGCGGGCCCGGCCGCGGCCACCGGACGCACGAGGTGCACGGGGGCACGCCCTTCCCCCCCCCCCCTCCCTCCCCCCCCCCTCCTTCTCCCCCCCCCCCCTCCTTCTCCCCCCCCTCCCTCCTTCTCCCCCCCCCTTCCCCCCCCCTCCTTCTCCCCCCCCTCCCTCCTTCTCTCTCCCCCCTTGGCCGCGGTGCAGCAGCAGGGCGAGAGAGGAGGGAGAAGGACGAGGCAGAGCCGCGGCGGCACTCCGATGGCCCCCCCCCGGGCGGCCTGCTGGGGACGATCTCCAGGCTCTTCGAGGCCGGGGGCTCGCCCTGAGCGCGCGCGCGCGCCCTCCCCGGCGACCCGGCGCGGGGCAGCGAGATGCTCTCGGGACGGGGAGAACGAGCTCGGGGGCGCCAGCTCACCACCACACGGAGCCCTGCCGGGGGGCCATAATTACGACTAGTGGGCCCGGGATGCACCCGCCCGGGATCGGTGAGGTGGCCGGTCGACGTGCCCCGACAACAGGGCAGGCATGCGACTGGCCCGCGCACATTTGTCACATTGTCCAGGGGGGCCCAGGGACACACAAATGAATAGACACAAATCCCTGGATTCCCCATATTTCTGGGTCTTCGTCTTCCCCCCTCTTCCCATGTTTTACTATATTCTCGTGGGAGTCGACGATGAATTGTGTCTGTGTGTTCTTCCCCGTCCTGACATTGGTGTGCAGAGGTGGGGATCGGAAAAAGGACTTGCTCCCTGGCCTGGTTCGGATGTCGAGGCGGATCCCTTACGCAGAGGGGGAGCATCCGCGAGATCCAGCAAGGACAATAAGAACCAACATCGAATCGCGAAGCCGGATCCACATCGGACTCGCGTGGAATATTTTGGAATCGGTGCTCAAATCGGCGATCGCCGCATCGGATCGGAAATCGGAAACTGCACGCCGGATCGGAATCGAACCGCAACGCTTTGCTTCAAATCGGGCCGGCATCGAGCCGACCCCTTGAATGGGGGGAAACCCAAGGAGGGGCCGCCGCTGTCTGGAGCGACCCTCCCCCGGATGGCGTGCACAGGTGGGGAACAGACGATGGAGAAAACCTTGCGCCCAACAGGCGCAGAGTGGACGGCGGGGCCGCTCCTGGCTCGGAAGAAGTCGCCAGATCCCGCGTCACTGCACAGACGGCAGCACAGGCCCGCTGCAAACGCCACAGCTTCCTTCGATGATTTTTTTTTCTTTCTCTCTCTCTCTCTCTCTGCACAGGCGCACACACACACGCGCGCGCGCGCACACTTCTCCATCCTGCGCGCGAGTAGAGTACCGCGCGACCCCCCCGCACGAGCCACTGCAAAACAAAATGCGAAGGCCTGACCACCGCCGCGCAAGAGAACGCCGTCGGCGCAAGCCACTTGTTTGGAGTCCCGTAAAGGTGCGGTGACAGACCGTGCGGTGACCTCGAAATGCCCCAAGACCTCACGGCGCGGTCCGTCAACGCACGGTTTTGGGACCTCGGAGGCCCCAGTCGCCCGAGACGTCCTCGGAGAACGACCCGAGTCCCAAAACCGCGCGGTGGCCCCGAATCCCCATCGACTCACCACACGGCGTGGTCACCACCCCGTCTGGTGGCCCCGACCTGTGGGCGGGCCACCGAAGCCAAAACGACGAAACGCAAACGGATGGGAACACGAGGATGGTTGCAAGGCTCTGGCGGGCGCGACTGGGGCCCAGGCCCTTGACATGAAACGCAGGCGGGTGGGTTGCGCGGAAGGGTTCCACTGCCCCTTTTCGGGTTCGGCGCGGCCTGGCGAGAGAAACGCAACCGGAAGCCCAGAGCATACAACACAGCCTGGCCCGGCCCGGCCCGCATGTGTGATTCCAGCCTCCCCGTACATCCAGAGATCGGATCGTGCACGGAGCAGGTCCGCGGCAAGATGCTGGCCCCCCTTTGCGGAAGCGTGCGAAGTCGGTGGCCCTCAGCGAGCGACCAGAACGGCCAACCGTTGAACTGCAGGAATCAACTTCTGTACACTCACGCACACACGCACACACACACGCACAGACGCACGCAAGCACGCAGGCACACATACACACACACACACGCACACACGCACACACACACCACACACGCATGCACGCACGCACGCACGCACGCACGCACACACACACACACACACACACACGCGCGCGCACGCACGCACGCACTCGCGCGCGCGCACGCACACGAACGCACGCGCGCACGCGCGCACGCGCACGCGCACGCGCACGCGCACGCACACGCGCACGCGCACGCGCACGCGCACGCGCACGCGCGCACGCACACGCGCGCGCACGCGCACACGCGCACACGCGCACACGCGCACACGCGCACACGCGCACACGCGCACACACGCACACGCGCACACGCGCACACGCGAACACACGCACACGCACGCGCACACGCGCACACGCGCACACACGCACGAGCACACGCGCACACGCGCACACGCGCACACGCGCACACGCGCACGCGCGCAGACGCGCACACGCGCACACGCGCACGCGCGCACACGCGCACACGCGCACACGCGCACACGCGCACACGCGCACACGCGCACACGCGCACACGCGCACACACGCGCGCACACGCGCACACGCGCACACGCACACATGCGCACACACGCACACACGCACACACGCACACACGCACACACGCACACACGCACACACGCACACACGCACACACGCACACACGCACACACGCACACACGCACACACGCACACACGCACACACGCACACACGCACACACGCACACACGCACACGCACACACGCACACACGCACACACGCACACACGCACACACGCACACACGCACACACGCACACACGCACACACGCGCGCACGTACACACGCGCACAGCGCACACGCGCACACGCGCACACGCACACAGCACACACACGCACGCACGCACGCACGCACACGCACACACACACACACACTCACACGCACGCACGCACGCACTCACGCACACACGCACGCGCACACGCACGCGCCCACACGCACGCGCATACGCACGCGCACACGCACACACGCACACGCACGCACGCACACGCACGCACGCACACGCGCACACGCACGCGCACACGCACGCGCACACACACAACACACACATACACACATACACACAGACACACAACACACACAACACACAACACACAACACACAACACACACAACACACACAACACACACAACACACACAACACACACAACACACAACACACAACACACAACACACACAACACACAACACACACAACACAAAACACACACAACACACAACACACAACCCACAACCCACACGATACTCACAACACACACACAACACACAGCACACAGCACACACAGCACACAACACACACAACGCACACACACAACACACACACAACACACTCAACACACACAACACACACATACAACACGCACAATATACACAACACACAGCACACAACACACAATACACGACGCACACACAACACACACAACACACAGCACACAACACACACAACACACAACACACACACACAACACACACACAACACGCACACAATCACACACACACACACACACTTTGTAGCGTCGCGGCCCTGCGCGCGCCGACAGGGTGGAGAAGGTCGTAAAGCAGCGAACGCGCGCGCGCGACTAGGAACGCACGAGACCTCAGAGACCGCTGAGGGTCCCGCAGCGGACAGCAGCCAGAAGCCCTCCGGGCGTGGATGACAGGCGGAGCGGTGGAAGGACAAGGCTACGGTGCGGTGGGACGTGCCAGAAGCCACTCGGGACAGCATAGCGCAGGAGCGAGCAAGCAGCGTGGAGCGACAGGAAGGCCAAGGCCGACCTGGAAGCCGAAAAGGCAGGGGGGCCACGAGCACACACACACAAGGCACGCACCAGACCCGGCTTCGACGTCGGGCGGGCCTGCTGCCTTCACTCCCGAGGCCCACCAGGAGGCCAAGAGGAGGCAGCTCGCGACGACGGCGGCCCCCGGAGACGAAAGACCCAGGCCCGGGGCGGGACCCGAGAGAGCCCCCCCCGCAAGGCGGCGAAGCACGACAGGCCACCCGTTTTCCCGGAGGACTCGCCTGCGCCTCGTGGCTCGGACCTGCGGGGCCCCCGACGCGCCCTGGGGGGCCCCGGCGGGGGGCAACGATAGGGGGGAACTGGCCTCGGGGGGGACGCATCGACCTGGGATCGGCGGTGCACCGTCGCGAGATCAGCGACGGGACCCCGATGGCGAGACCGCACCGCCCCGGGTGGGCTGGGACTATCGGGCCCCCCTCGGCGATATCAATGGGCGATGGGGGGGTCGATGCACGGCCCCCCCTGGTGTGAGGAGGAGGAGGAGGAGGAGGAGGAGCAGGAGGAGGAGCCCCGACCTGGCAGCGGCGCAGGGGGGGAGCCCGCCTGCAGCGCCCGCAGCCGCACCCTCAGGTCCGCCGACTCGGGGCCGGCGGGCCTCCCGCCGGCGCCTGCCGCGCGGGCGCCGCTCCCCGTCGCCGCCGCAGGAGCTCCTTCCTCGTCTCTGGTAGGGCCTGTCCTCCAGCAGGCGGATTCTGGAAGAACTGTTGACTACCTACCAGACCACCCCAACCCAACCCGAAGACCCGAATTTCGGGTTGGGGGGGGGGTACGGGTTCCATGTGTTTTCTCGATGTTCCCCGACCCCCCACAACTGGAAATGGAGGGCAAATCGAGACCTTCGGGTCGGGTTGGGGTGGTTTGGTGGGTGGTGAAATGTGAAGAATATTTGTTTGGCCGCAAGTGTCAAAAAGAATCGAAAGCTCGTCCCCGAAATATGTTTTGAGGATGTCTGGATATGCCTCCGGTAGAGGGACATCCCCGACTCAATCCTCGTCCTCGTCGACGTCCTCTTGTGGAGGCCGACGGGGACGAGGGCGAGGAGGGCAAGGGTGGGGGGGCGCGGGCCTCAAGCCTGCCGCCATGCAGGCCTTGGTCGCGCACAAACTCGGAGGCGTCAGACTGTTCGGGGATCTTCTGACCCTGGTCAATCCAGACCCGGGTCCGTCAGGCCTTGCAAGATCCTGCAGGATCCTGTCGGATCCTGCACCCAAACCAGGGTCAATGCGCCCCTGGCCTGTAGGCTACTGCAAGATGTGGCGCTCTGACGGACCCCCGTTTGCACCGACCCCTGTCTCTGGAGCCCCGAACTGTCCACCTGTCGCGAAGCGCGAAGAACTTTGCGCGACCTCGTGGCGGCCCTTGCTTCGCCGAAGGCCAGAGAGGCCTCGTGGCGTGCCAGGAGAGCCCCCCAGAGGTGGAGAGCCTGGACACGAAGAGCAGAAGGGACACCCCTCCGAGGCGAGGGCTGCTCTTCACACAGAGGGGAACAACGACCTGGAATCGGCGATTGATACATCGCCGACAGATCGGCGATAGGACCTACCTACCACACCACCCCCACCCAACCCAGCCCGAAGTCGCCGCTGGGCCCGTCAAATCACAGTGGGGGGGCATTCTGGTCGGTGGTTCAGAGATGGGGTCCTGAGAGATGGGGTGGATCTACATGCTTTGAGGCACCTCTTCCTTAGGACCCCATCCCTCAGGACCCCATCTCTGATGGAGCATTGGAACCCGAAAGTACTCCAAATCCCATATTTGTCGTCCCCCGGGTCCGGTTTTATCAGGCGCCTCTTTGTAACTGGGGGAGTCTGGTTTATATTAGGGCGCTTTCTTTGGATTGGAGCTTGGGGGTCCGGTTCTGTTAAGGCGCCCCGTCCAAGAGGGCACCCCCTCCTCGGGGGCGAAGGCCTGCCGATCCGCTGTGGCTGCATCGGAGCTGCCCTCCTCGCCCCCGGGGGCGGGGGCCGTCCCCGCTTCCCAGCGCCTCGGCCGAGCCCCGACGCTCGGCGAGGTCGAGGTCCCCATCGGGCCCGAGGGTCGGCCCTCCCTGGTCGCTCTCGCAAAAGACGAGCGCCTGCACGGCCGCATCCGCAGCAGCTGGTCCGAGAGGCCTCCCGTGCCTCTCGTCGACGGCCTGCCAGGCCACCCTGAGCTAAACCCGAAGACCCAACTATCGGGTTGGGTGGGTACGGGTTCCTACCGTGTTTTTTTTCAACGTTCCCCGACGGCGCCCCCCCCCCCCTGCTGGAAATGGAGGGTAAGCTGGGGCCTTCCGGCTGTGTTGGGGTGGTTTGGTCAGGAGGGCCCAGAATCGAATCGATAAGTCGGATCGGCGATCTAAATGAATCAGATCGGCGGAAATCGGCAGCTGAGTTGGGAAAAACTCGAATTGGCGGAAATCGGCAGGCTAATAGTTATGCGTCCCATGAGAGATCGGAATCGAAACCGGAATCCCCAATCGAGTCGAATCGGAATCGGAAGCCACCGAGATCGGATCGAGATCGAGTCGGAGGCGTCGCAAGGAGCCCTGCTTGGTGGGCGACCCCTCTTGGAGCCCTTGCAGGACTCGCGGAGGGCGTTTCGGGAGCGGCCAAGAGGGGGGTGTCCAAGACGGGGGGGTGCAAATCATGACCGGCGGCATGTGCGCGGCCCAGCGGGGGGGCCATGGACGTAATGAAATAAGAAGAGGCGGCAAGAGATCTGGGGAAATACCATGGCCCCCGCCATGATATCCACCCCCCCCTAGTCATCACCCCCCTCTTTTCCGCCCCCGAGCGCTGCACACGCCACGGCTCCCCCAAAAAAATCTCCGGGCGCGAGGCGCCGCACGTGACGGCCTCCCCGTGCCGCCCCTCGGAAGCAGCCCTCCGCTCGAGGCGCCGGGCTGCCACGGCGGCGGGAGCTGCCCGCAGGCAGCAAGCTCGGGTGAACCCTGTACCTTCCCACTGGGGCTAAAACAGGGCTAGGATCGGGATAAATCGCTCCAAAGCGTTCCGGAGCGCTCTCAGAGCGTTCCGGAACGTTCTGGAGCGGCCGCGGCGCCCAATACATCCTCCAAACCCGCCGATTCTCAGAGATTTCGAGTTGTCCCGATCCGATTTTGTCCCGAACTTCGCGTCGTTTTAGGGGCCCCCTGGGAGCCCAGACGCGGCCGCCGCGCCACCCTGCGAGCCGCTCCCGCCAATTGACCCGCTTCCGCCGCGCGGCCGGCCGCGGCGCCCAAGAAGCCGCAGGCAGCGTCCGCCAAGATCGGCTCGGCGGGCACCTCTTGCCAGCACCCCGTGGCCGCGCCCAGGGCCGCCCGTACCACGAGAGGTTCCCCCGAGAGGGCCGGCTCAGGGCGGCAGGGCGGGGGCCGCAACTCGACAGCGAACCCCTTCTCCATCTCCCTCCTTCTCCTCCTCCTCCTCCTCCTCCTCCTCCTCCTCCTCCTCCTTGTCCTGCTCCATTATCCTCCGTTTCTTCTATCCACCTCCTCCTCCCTCCTCCATTCTCCCTCCTTCTCCACTCCTCCTCCTCCTCCTCCTCCTCCTCCTCCTCGTCCTCCTCCTTGTCCTGCTCCATTATCCTCCGTTTCTTCTATCCACCTCCTCCTCCCTCCTCCATTCTCCCTCCTTCTCCTCCTCCTCCTCCTCGTCCTCCTCCTTGTCCTGCTCCATGATCCTCCGTTTCTTCCATCATCCTCTTCCTCCTCCTCCCCTTCCTCCTCTTCCTCATCCTCCTCCCTCCTCCTCCTCCTCCTCCTCCTCCTCCTCCTCATCCTCGCCTACTCCTGCTCCACCTCTCTTTCCTCCTGATATTATTACTCTACTTTAACTATTGTGATAACTAGTATTATCAATATTAATAATATCATTCGTACTAGTATTAACATTCGTATTATTAACAGATGTATTGTTTTTCCTCCTCTTCCTCCTCCTGCTCCACCTCCACCTCCTCCTCCTCCTCCTCCTCCTCCTCCTCCTCCTCCTCTTCATCCTGCTCCCCAGCCTCCTCCTCAGACCTCTGGCCCACCCAGAAATCTGCGTCCGCTCCCCGTGGCACAACCTCTCCCTCCGGAGCCACCTACTGGTGGCCCCGGGGCCGGACACACAAGGGCCCCCCAGAGAGCGCACGCTGCCAACACCACACGTCCGTCAAGAGCGTCCCACGGCGCGGGGCGGCCTGGGCCCTCCCTCTTGATCTTGGTAGAAAGATAAACATAGCAAAGCTTCCGCCACAGTTCCGCGGGGCACGGAGAGTGGGCGTGTCCTCGGGTCCTGGGCCCAATCCTCTGAGCCTCAAGCCTGGGTCCTGAGGACTCTGTACGTGGGCCCGGACCCCGATTGCCGAAATCTCCCGGGGCTTTCCGCGTGCCCTCGGGGCTTTGCCAAGCGGTGGCGCGCGACTTTGTCGGGCCCCAGGAGGCCCCGAAGACGGCCCAAGACGGCCCCGAGTCGCAAAAAGATCGGCCCAAGACGCCCAAGATGGCCCCCAGACGACCCGAAAGGCCCCCAAGACGCCCCAAGAGGCCTCCAAGAGGCCCCCCCAGCAGGCCTCAAGAGGCCAAACGCATTCATTGTCCTTTGTTTTTTGTTACCTGGTTCTTGTCCTACTCGAATTTTTGGCTTACCGACGCTCCAAGACGGCCCAAGAGGCCTCCGAGATCGCCCCAAGACGGCGGGTGGCGCTGGAGGCGCCGCCAGGGTAGCCCAGCGCCGATCCAAGAAATCCGCGCGGAGCCCTGCAAATTTCTCCTGCGAATTCGGGATCTTCCTACCCGGGTCAATCCAGACCCGGGTCAGTCAAGCCTTGCAAACCCTGCAAGATCCTGCATCCGAACCCGGGTCACTGCGAAGGATCCTGCAAATTCCTGCAGGATCCTGCGCCCAAGCCCGGGTCAAATGCGACCCTGGCACTGCAAGATCCTGCAACATCGGGCGCTCTGGCTGACCCCCGTTTGCGTTGACCCCCGTTTCTTGAGCTAGAGGCAGCTAGAGGCCTCCCAGATGGGCTCGGTGTAGATGGGATCGGAGGATGTCGCCGCATCGCCGATGCATCGGCGATGCATCGCCGATGCATCGGTCATGCACTTGCGACGTCGGCGATGCGTCGGCGACGTCGGCGTGGAGAAAACTGTGCCCCGCACCGAGCCGCATCGCTGATGCATCGCCGATGCATCGGCGGTGCGGCGCGATCCTCCGACCCCATCTACTCCGACCCCATCTGAGAGGCCTAGATGAGCCCCGACGAGTCCTGGCATGGGCCGCGCCGGCCGGGGGGGGGGATAGGGAGCAAGCAAACCTGCCTCGCTTCTGACCACCCTCGCTTCCAAGAGATACCAAGCGATGCGCCAGACCACGGCCTGTACTGGTCAGGCCGCTTGACGAGGAGGCGCGTGGCAGGACTTGGTTTTGCCTGGAAAAGAAACCCAGACCCCCGACGTCATGATTTTTTCATGACGCGACCCCCAAAGGTCTGGACCCATTCCCCGGGACCGGTTTTTCACCCTGAGTCGTTTTTTGACGGTCCCGAGGCCCGGTGAGAGCCCCCAGAGGCCGAAAATAGCGAAAAACCTCCCGTCGTGCTTTTTTCATGACGCGAGGGGGTCGGGGAAGCGCGGTAGGCAACTGACGCTCTGAGGGGAGCCGTCCTCGGACGACGTCGCGGTCCCCCTCGAGCGCCGCGCACAGCTCGGCCACGTCGCTCAGCGCGGGCCCTGGCCGCGGCGCGCTCCGGGGGGGGGCCGGCGGCCGCGCTCCCCGGCGGTGCTCCCGTCGGGCTCCGACGGCACGCCGCCTGCCGCCTGCCGGCCCACCCGACGGCAGCGACGACGACGACGGCGACGGCGACGGCGACGACGGCGACGGCGACGACGACCACGACGACGACGACCACGACGACACACGACGACGACACACGACGGCGACGACACACGACGACGACGACGACCACGACGACGGCGGCGACGACGACGGCGGCGACGACTACGACACACGACGACGACACACGACCACTGCGCGGCCCTCGTCGTTCTCCACCTGACGCTGGCGCTGGTGGCTGGGTCACACCTGGGAGGCCGACGCCACGTCCTCGCTCCGCCTGGAAGAGGAGGCCTCCCGCAAGAGGCTCGCTGGCCGCGGTCGACGACGGGAGGCCCCCGGTGGCGAGGCCAACGGAGCGAGGAGGAGAGAGAAAGAGAAAGAGAGGCGAGGCGAGAGGCGAGGGGCGAGGACAACGAGGGCCCCCCCCCCCGGAACCGCCGCGGCGCCCCGCCCCAGATCCTCGGGCGCGAGCGGCGCCCCTTCCCCCGCTCCTCCTCCTCCTCCTCCTCCTCCTCCTCCTCCTCCTCCGCCTCCGCCTCCTCCTCCTGCTCCTCCTCCTCGTCCTCCTCGTCCACCTCCTCCTCCTCCTCCTCCTCCTCCTCCTCCTCCTCCTCCTCCTCCTCCTCCTCCTCCCCTTCCCCCCCCCCCTCTCGGCGGGTCGCCCGCGCGCAGCGCCTCCCCCCCCCCTCGGCCACCCCATCCCGCCCCTGCGCCGCGGGAGCCGTGCGGCGCTCGCTCACTCCGATGGCGACGCGCGGGGCCCCCGCGCCACCCCGGGAGGAGGCCCGGAGGGGCCGAGCGCGTTCCACTGCTCGCAGAGATGCTGCTCGCAACTGGCCTGGATCCGTCGCGGGTGTTTTTTTCATACGTTACATGCAAGAAGGCACTTGTTTCGGACGTCTTCGAGTAGGCACTTGGCGACTATTAGAACGCGCTCGGCGATGGAAAGGCCCAAGGGCCAGGACCTGTGCACCCTGCGGGGGCCACTGGCGACCGACGGCGTCGGAACCATTGAGAAAACACACGTGCACCCGCGACACAAGAATCGCCCCCTGGGATCCTTCAGGTCAGCGATCCAGCCACTGAGCGTCTCCGTGGCGACTGGGGAAGCGAGCATTACTGAACTGATGGATTTCGGTACGTCGGTACGCCAGGACACCAGAATTCTTCTTCAGTTCAGTATTCCTCGCCTCCCCAGTCGCCATGGAGACGCTCAACGGCCAGACCGCTGAGCTGGAGGATCTCAAGGTGCATACGAGAGGCTGTTTTTTTGATCCGCGATACCCTGGGTTATCCGGAGCAGAGGGGCCGGCCGATAACCTAACCTTCGCGATGAGGGCAGCCCCGCATATGCCCGCGCGCACCGGTGCTGCGGCCCCACACAGCTGCTACCGATGCTGCGACGATGTTCTATAGCCGTGCTGCGGCGATGCAGGCGCCGTCTGGGAATGCCGAACAATATGTCGGGACCTGCTCAACCGACAGGGTGAGGTTATCCAAGGGCGGCGAGCCCGATGACCCGCGCTATCGCTGGATCCTAAAGAAAAGCCTCCCAAACACAGCGCGGCGCATTCAATGCGCAGCACTGAAAACCAACTGCTTCGAGCGATCCCCACCAAAATGTTCGGCCTTTGTTCCCAACAGTGCCGGGGCCGGGGCCAGTGCGTCGAGGCCGGGGCCCGTGCCGAGGCTGGGGCAGGGCCGGGGGCGGGGCCTGGCATGTGGGGCCCGAGCCGAAACCGAGGCCTGTGCCAGGGCAGGGGCCGGGGTCAGGGGCTGGGACCCATCCAGGGCTGGGGCGGGGGCCCGGTCCAGGGCCAAGGGCCGGGAGCGGGGCCGGGGCCCAGGGCCAAGGCTGGGGCCGGGGCCCTGGCCGGGGCAGGGGCCAGCAGGGCTGGGGCCGGGGCTCCCAAGCCAAATGAACGACCCACCAACGAAGCAACCTGTCGGGGAACAAGCCTGCCTTCAAGCTCGACAAACGGACGCGACGCAGACACATACTGCCGAAGGCGACTCTTGACACCCTCATTCCCTCCTCCTCCTCCTCCTCTTCCTTCTCGTCCTCGTCCTTTTCCCATCGAGGTAATGCTTTCTCTCTCTCTCTCTCTCTCCCTCTCTCCCTCTCTCACACACGCACACACGCACACACGCACGCACACACGCACACACAGACACACACAGACACGCACACACGCACACACACGCACACACGCACACACACAAAGAGACACACACACACAGAGGCACACACAGAAACACACACACAGAGACACACACACAGACACACACACAGAGAAACACACACACAGACACACACACAGAGACACACACAGAGACACACACAGAGACACATACACACAGAGACACACACACAGAGGAACAGCCAGAGACACACAAACACAAAGAGACACACACAGACACACACAGAGAGACACACACAGAAACACACACAGAGACACACACAGAGACACACACACAGAGACACACACAAAGACACATACACACAGACACACACACACACACGAACACACACACACACAGAGACACACGCACAGAGACACACACACAGACAGACACACACACACACACACACGCGCGAAGACACACACACGCACACATGACACACACAGACACACACACACACACATAGACAGACACACACACACACACAGACACACACAGACACACACACAGACACACACAGACACACACACAGACACACACACACACAGACACACACAGACACAAACACAGACACACACACACACGCAGACACACACACAGACACACACACAGACACACACACACACATAAACACACACACAGACACACACAAACAGACACGCGCAGAAACACACACACACACAGACACACACAGACAACACACACAAACACACACAGACACACACAGACACACACAGACACAGAGACACACACAGACACACACACACAGAGACACACACACAGGCACACAAACACAGACACACAAACACAGACACACACACACACACAGAGACACACAGACACACACAGACACACACACACAGACCCACACAGACACACACAGACACACACAGGCACACACGCAGACACACACACACACACATACAGACACACACACAGACACACACAGACACACACAGAAGTACACACAGACACACACACACACACAGACACACACAGACACACACACAGACACACACAGACACACACACAGACACACACTCACACACAGACACACACACAGACACAAACACACAGACACACACACAGACACACACACAGACACACACACGAAGACACACAGACACACAACCACATACACACACACAGACACACACAGACACACACACAGACACACACACACAGACACGCACGCACACAGAAACTCACACACACAGACGCACACAGACACTCACGCACACAGACACTCTCACACACAGGCACACACAGACACACACACACACAGACACACACAGAGACACATACACACAGGCACACACGCAGGCGCGCACACACACACAGGCACACAGACATGCACACACAGAGACACACACAGACACACCAGACACACACAGGCGCACACACACAGACACACACACACAGACACACACACACAGACACACACACAGACACACACAGACACACACACACACAGACACACACACAGAGACACACACACAGACACACAACACAGACACACACACAGACACACACAGACACACAAACAGACACACACAGACAGACACGCACACAGACAGACACGCACACAGAAACGCACACAGACACACACAGACACACACACACACATTACTATAAAAGGCGAAATCGCACGGAGCTTCCCGCCACGTCCCGGATCGGCCGCGCAGGCCACAGGCATATACAATGTTTGTTTCTTCGAGCGATCCCCACCGACATGTTCGACGTTCGTTCCCGACGGTGCGCGCGCCTGTTGGAGCGATGCGTGCGGGGCCTGGCTGTTTCGGCCAGCGCGGCGGTCGGGCCAGGTCGCACGTTGCAATTCTTGTTCCATGAAGTCTGACAGCCCCAGAGCCACAGACGAACAAAAAACAAAACAGCCCTGGTGCGAACAGACGAGCGCACAAAAGACGTGGTGCCCCCAGAGTGCGTCGAGAAAGAATGTGCAGCCGATTGGAAGAGGGGCGGCAGCAGCATGAGGAGCAAAAGTTGGTCTTCACTTGTGCTTCTCTTCTTTTGACGTGCGCTCTGTTATGTCCATCATTGTCACCACATGGCTTTATTTGTCATGGTACGAGGTGATGTGTGACACCATGTCACGGCATGATACATAATGTTAACATGTGTGCGACTATCGACAGGCCGTCGTGAATTCGTGACGCGTGTCACGTTAGATACATTGCTCAACCGGTCATTGGTGCGCATGTTGGTTCCTGTGACCAGCTTGACCTAAGCGCGCACGTCGCGCTTGCTTCTATGAAGTACGAAATAGTATCGATGATGGTACATGTCATTCGTCTTGATAGTTTCTGCCAAAGATATTATGGTATGTGTTGTGGTATGTGCTGCTGTGTGTCACTAGGTTGTGGCATGATATGTTATGCAAATTATGTTGTGTTATGACATGTTCACTGATGCCGTTTACGCGATGACCAATACAATATAATATATTGTGTGCTTGCCTGTTCGGACGTACCTCATACACCAAGATATTGACGATATTGCAATATCAAGCTCGCTGCCATGATTGTATCAGTAATGTAGCAACTCTGACGTATCGTATGCTGGCAACGTTCATATATGTCGAAATATGATGGTCTGTTATTTTCGGTCATGCCACCCCTGTGCAATAGGAAACAATGTGTGGTGTCGTAGTGCATTCGTTGCCACCGTGGCACCAATGGTAAAAAAACCGCTGGTGTGGTATGCTATGATACGTTATGCTGTAACGTTTGACGCCCCGCTATGTCATGGTACATGTGCTCGGTGCTGCGGCCTGCCATGCCCTGTTCCGTCATGGCATGTTACTGTGTGCTCTGTTATGATCTGGTCTGGTCTGCTGTTTCACCATCAAGTATGCCGCGCTCTGTCATGGTATGTTTTGCCATGGGTTGGGATAGTATGTGCAATGCTGTGTTAGATTCTGCTGTGATCGGCCATAGTATGGTTATGGTGTGCACCAGTATGCCATGATACGTTAGAATATGCTCTGATTCGTTTTGTTTCGGGGTGTGTTGTGCGACTCTCTGCCTTGTATGTTCCAGTATGCCCTTGCATGCGCTCGATGTTGCGTTCGGTAAACATGTGCTCGATCGTGTTATGTTGAACCATAATATATTTGAATAATGTGGGGCTATGCTATGTCATGTTCTGCTATATCGAAGTATGGCGTCGCTCTGTCATGGTATGATGTCTCATGGTATGGCGTGTTCGGTTGTGAGATGTTGTTTTATGGTATGAATGGCGGTATGACATGTTATGGCATGCTCTGTTGTGGTATGACCAGTTTGGTACGTTATGCTATGGCATGGCGTGATATTGTGTATGATGCCATGATATGTTATTTAAGCTCCGCACTGTCATTGCATGCTCTAATATGAGGTAATGTTTCATGGTACGGTACGTCATCATATAATAAGGTGTACGATGTTCGGTCGCAGGATATCATGCGTTACGTTTGCCGCATACGGTTTGCCAAGTTATGACATGGTTGATATGCAATTATATGCAATGTGTCGATGTGCGGTGGTGTGCTATTGTTTTGGTTTCGTATATAGTGGTATGCTCAGTTATGGTATGCTATGTTATGTTCTGGTGTGCTATGTTATTATGTTATATTGTGCTGTGTGCTGTTATGCTGAAGTGTGTCGGGTCCTGTCGTGTTCGTCAAGGTGGCGAGGCGGTGGTCTCGGAGGATTCTCGGTGGACCTGGGGACCTCGCGGCCGCGGTATGCAGAGCGGGCGCGTCGGCGCGAGGCGGGATTATCGTTTTCGTTTTTTTGTTTGTCCCTAACACGCCCGTTGACGACGGACGGGTGACGGGTGACGGGTGACTGGCGTGCGCTGCAGCGCGCCCTGCACGGGCTGCCAGAGGTCAGGGCGTTTAGCAGAGGAGGTTGTTCCCCTTGTTCTCCTTTGCGCTTCTGTCTTCCGACACATAGCTGTTGCGTTGTTTACCGGATTGCCGCGACCATTGCATACAGGGAGGTCTTTGCAACACCCGTTACCTATCGAACAAAGTATTCTTGAAATGTGAGTTTCGTCGAACTGCGCGCTTCAACAAATGTCACAATCGTTGTGCACGTAACTTGGCAGCTTGCAGATCTCCATGTTCAAACGCCGCCACTTCCATTCGGGGACCTGGGCTTGAACCTCCAAGCAGGGTTTTGCAACTGACAATCACAATCCACTTGGTGCAAAAGCCGTATATCCTTGAACCGCTTTCACACAATGAACACCTTGCCTACTTCCTGAACCTTCGTAGAAGTACACAGAACATGCATAATAGATGTTCGCCGCCTACCTCACCCAGCCCCCTACGAATCGCCACGGGCACTGCCGGAATAGTTTCCCACTCGCTACATGTAACGATCTGCTCTGAATCCGAATAGTATGGAAAGGTTTGGGGCTGCACGTGATACCAAAGGATCATCTCCAGTATGCCTGTCACTATCCATAACTGGTTTTCTAACAAAACATATTTTGAAGCTAGACCGAAGAGCTCGAAGACGATGCCAGAATCGCAATATCTGAAAGCGTGCCGGATTGCAGGATCACAGGTGGAACCTGTTGCTTGAGACATTCGGCATTGACCAACGCCTGCCTGATTGCCACTCTCCAATCTTGAAATGTGCGCGCTTTGGATATTGATAAATTTGATCTGTTCCCCGCTACGGACAATCGCCGCTTGGCGTCACAAGGTAGGGCCGTATCCGGACAACACGACATCGCACGAGATCAGCAGAGCAACGTTATCCCTTGAGGAAAGCTATCCCCCAAACTAGCCCTTGAGCAAAGCTGCCCCCCAAAAGTGACCCCGGTTGAGCCAGACCGGCTCGAGCCAAAATGGCTGCGGTGGACCTGTGGGTCTGGCGGCCGCGGTATGAAGGGTGGGCGGGCCGGTGACTCTCTCCTTCAGACCTCACGACCCCAACCAATCAGGTGGGGAACGAGAGGATCCCGCCCTGAGTATCGTTTCACCGATCCCCATCCCCAGCGGCGTGGCCTGGGCCCCACTGGCCGATCTACCCCCCTAGACGGGGATATAGGCCGTTCCCTTCGAGTGTCGAGGGGTGTCTCCCCAACTGGGAGGGTAATCTAGTGGGGGTCTCGAAGGGGATGGGGGATGGGGGTCGGTTAATCGTTACTGACGCCCCCCCGTCTCGCCGGGGCGGGCGCGGACCTGTCTGGCCCAGGGAGCCAGCCCGCAGCGCCATGTGGCCCAGCCGCGGGTGGAGGGGCAGCCTGCGGTGTCCCTGCTCCCCGTGGCCCTCGTGCGCGCCCGTGCAGGCTCCCGCCTCCGCTTCCTCTACACACCTCCTCCTCCCTCGTCCTCCTCCTCCTCCTCCTCCTCCTCCTCCTCTTCCTCCTCCTCCTCCTCCTCCTCCTCCTCCTCCTCCTCCTCCTCCTCCTCCTCCTTCCTCTCTCTCCCCTCCTGCTGCTCCCTGCTCTGCTCCTCCTGCTCCTCCTCCTCCTCCTCCTCCTACTTCTCCTCCTCCTCCCCGTCCTCCTCCTCCCTCCTCCTCCTCCTCCTCCTCCTCTCCTCCTCCTCCTCCTCCTGCATCCTCCTCCTGCTCCTCCTCCTCCTCCCCTCCTCCTCCTCCTCCCCTCTCCTCCTCCTCATCATCCTCCTCCACCTCGTCTTCCTCCTCCTCCTCCTCCTCTCCTCCTCCTCCTCCTCCCCCTCCTCCTCCTCCTCCTCCTCCTCCCTCCTCCTCCTCCTCCTCCTCCTCCTCCTCCTCCTCCTCCTCCTTCCTCCTCCTCCTCCTCCTCCTCCTCCTCCTCCTCCCCTCCTCCTCCTCCTCCTCCCTCCTCCTCCTCCTCCTCCTCCTCCTCCTCCTCCTCCTCTCTCCTCCTCCTCCTCTCCTGCTCCTGCTCCTGTTCCTCCTCCTTCTCCTCCTCCCCGTCCTCCTCCTCTGCCTCCTCCTCCCCCTCCTCCTCCTCTTCCTCCTCCTCCATCATCCTCCTGCCTCCCTCGCGCGGGGCCCAGCCTCCCCCTCCCGTCTTGCGCTGCACCGGCATTGGCTGGATGGCTGTTGCGTTTATGAAAATACTCGCGACCGAGAGAAAACATGTTAGCCTCCGTGGGGCCCAAACAATGTTTCTGACAGTCATGTGGTGCAACCTATGTGGAGCAATCTGCGTGGTGCAATATATGTGGTGGAACGTGTCCATAGGTTGTGCAATATATGTGGTGCAGGTCGTATGGTGTAATCAATGTGACGCGTTTCATGTGGAATGACATATGTGGTGTAATCTACGTGGTGTTATTGACTTTGACTTCCACGCGCGTGACCACCTCCCAAGCTCGCGCAAACATCCCATCCACCCACCAACCCACAATTGGGTGTGCAAAACCCATGCGGCGGCGATTGCGATGGCTGTTTGACGCTGGTTGGTGCATCGCTTCGGTCGCGCTAGCGCGCAGGCTCGCGCGCAGAGCGGCCAACCAAACTGGCGCGACCGACGCGGCCGCGGTGGCAGTGACCGCTGGTAGCCTCCCAACGGTTCGGGTTGGTAACTCGGGCGGGCGCGGTATCATGGCGACGCCGACGCCAGCAGGCACAATGATGGTAGTAGCGATGTTGGTGACGTTGATGACAATGATGAAGGGAAGGGCAATGACGGCGCCGGTGCTGATCACGCCGGTGACGATGATGGTTTCCTTGCGTCGGTGATGAACTGTTTGGAGGGATTTCGACATGCGCGCGCGGCCGACGCGCGCGGGACCCGCATGGTACCATTTGATACAGATCGTGTCGCCCCAGCACGCGCGCAAGGGAGTTCGAATGATTTCGACGTGCGCACGCGAATGGCACGTTTGGTAGCATGTCACACACATGTTGAACATCGACGACATATTGTTTAAAGAACTCGCACGAACGCGAACGGAAGAGTTGCTTTAACAGTTTTCTTGCGATACACCTGGTTCGTCTATGTGTTCGGGGGCTCTCAGTTTCGAATCCTTACGGCACCATTATCATTATTATTAGTGTTATTATATATATGTGTATATATATATATATATATATATATATAAAAAAAAAAAGAGGAGGTCTCCGGCAGGCGCGCGCGACGACGCGCGCGCGCACTTTGCCGCATGTAGCGTATGGGAATTCATTCGGCAGCACGCGTGCAAAAAAAAACGCCCGAATAAATTCGGCATGCGTTTGGCCGCATGTTACGAAGATGTTTATGCGTTCTGGACATTCGAATCCGAAATCCGAACGGATTTAAAACTTGTTTGAAATATCGGGAGGCACAATGAACGAAACGGCGACATCAAGTGGAAATCGCACCCCCCCCCCGTGGGCGGATACACCGTTCGTCGGGCGGGTGGTGGATCCGAACTCATTTCAGAAAGAAGAACATTTGCGGTGCTATATATATATATATATATATATATATATATACGATGCAAGTTATGTGATGCAAGCGACGTCGCACAATCCCTGTGGTGCAACGCGTGTGGTGCAACTGTTGTTGTGTAGTTTTTGTGGCGCAGTCGATGGTATACAATTACAATTTGTTTCCGGTGGCGAATCAACTCTACTGCTCGCGCACACATCCCACCCAGCCATCCGCAGCTTGGCTTGCAAACCCCATGGGGCCGCGATTGCAATGACTGTTCCGCGCTGGCTGGCGCATCGCCGCGGCCGCCCTACCAGCTGGTCTGGCGCGACGGACGCGGCCGCGGTGGCGCTAACCGCTGGGGACCCCCAAGCACGTCCCGCAGGCCGCGCGGGCACATCAACGCAAATCGGTGATTTGGGCGGGCGCGGTATCATGGCGACTTCGACCACGACAGACACGATGATGAGAATAGCGATGCTAGCGACGATTGCGACGGTGACGACGGCAAGGGCACCGACGGCGCCGATGTTCATCAGGCCGATGACGATGATGGTTTCCCCGCATCGGTGATGAACGTTTTGGAACGATTTCGACATGCGCGCGCGGTGACACGCGCGAGTGGCCACCATGTTGTCATTCGACATGGGCCGTGTCGCCCCAGCACGCGCGCAAGGGCGTTCGAATGATTGCGCGCCCGAACGTTTTATTGTTGGAACACCGGCGCTGCACATCCGTATGTTTTTTACCTAACCGCGAAGACTGATAAGTTTCTAGTAGGGTCAAAAGAGAGCAGCAGATGACTCCACAAGGGGGTCCGGGCGGCATTCGGGGAGCTGGGTCCGAAGTCGTTTTTCGCAAACAGTCACACACACTTCGTGCTCTTCGACCTCCCAGAACCCCATTCCCGGGCCACATTCTGAATGCCCGGAGCCAACTGTAGGCCACTTCGTGCTCTTCGACTTCCCAGAACTCCATTCCCGGGCCACATTTTGAATGCCCGGAGCCAACTGTAGGCCACTTCGTGCTCTTCGACTTCCCAGAACTTTATTCCCGGGCCACATTTTGAATGCCCGGAACCAACTGTACGCCACTTCGTGCTCTTCGACCTCCCAGAACTCCACTCCCGGGCCACATTCTGAATGCCCGGAGCCAACTGTAGGCCACTTCGTGCTCTTCGACCTCCCAGAACTCAACTCCCGGGCCACATTCTGAATGCCCGGAGCCAACTGTAGGCCACTTCGTGCTCTTCGAGTTCCCAAAACTCTATTCCTGGGCATGATTTTGAATGCCCAGAGCCAACTGTAGACCACTTCGTGGTCTTCGAGTTCCCAGAACTCCATTCCTGGGCATGATTTTGAATGCCCGGCGCCAACTGCAGGCCACTTCGTGTTCTTCGAGTTCCCAGAACTTCATTCCCGGGCCACATTTTGAATGCTGAGGCAGGCTGAGGCTGAGGCTGAGGCAGGCTGAGGCTGAGGCAGGCTGAGGCTGAGGCCGAGGCTGAAGGCAGACTGAGGCTCAGGCTGAAGCAGGGGCTGAGGCTGAGGCTGAGGCTGAGGCAGGCTGAGGGCTGAGGCAGGCTGAGGCTGAGGCTCAGGCTGATGCAGGCTGAGGCTGAGGCAGGCTGAGGCTGAGGCCGAGGCTGAAGGCTGACTGAGGCTGAGGCTGAAGCAGGCTGAGGCTGAGGCTGAGGCAGGCTGAGGCTGAGGCTGAGGCTGAGGCTGAGGCAGGCTGAGGCTGAGGCAGGCTGAGGCTGAGGCCGAGGCTGAAGCAGCCTGAGGCTGAGGCTGAGGCTGAGGCTGAGGCAGGCTGAGGCTGAGGCTGAGCAGCTGATGCTGAGGCAGGCTGAGGCTGAGGCTGAGGCTGATGCAGGCTGAGGCTGAGGCAGGCTGCGGCTGAGGCCGAGGCTGAAGGCAGACTGAGGCTGAGGCTGAAGCAGCTGAGGCTGAGGCAGGCAGGCTGAGGCTGAGGCTGAGGCAGGCTGAGGCTGAGGCTGAGGCTGATGCAGGCTAAGGCTGAGGCAGGCTGAGGCTGAGGCCGAGGCTGAAGGCTGACTGAGGCTGAGGCTGAAGCAGGCTGAGGCTGAGGCTGAGGCAGGCTGAGGCTGAGGCAGGCTAAGGCTGAGGCAGGCTGAAGCTGAGGCTGAGGCAGGCTGAGGCTGAGGCTGAGGCTGATGCAGGCTGAGGCTGAGGCAGGCTGAGGCTGAGGCCGAGGACTGAGGCTGAGGCTGAAGCAGGCTGAGGCTGAGGCAGGCTGAAGCTGAGGCTGAGGCAGGCTGAGGCTGAGGCTGAGGCAGGCTGATGCTGAGGCAGGCTGAGGCTGAGACTCAGGCTGATGCAGGCTGAGGCTGAAGCAGGCTGAGGCTGAGGCTGAGGCTGAGGCAGGCTGAGGATGAGGCTGTGACTGCGACTGCCGTTGCCACTGAGGCTGAAGCAGGCTGAGGCTGAAGCAGGCTGAGGCTGAGGCGGAGGCAGGCTGAGGCTGAGGCTGAGGCAGGCTGAGGCTGAGGCTGAGGCTGAGGCTGAGGCCGAGGCTGAAGGCAGACTGAGGCTGAGGCTGAAGCAGGCTGAGGCTGAGGCTGAGGCAGGCTGAGGCTGAGGCTGAGGCAGGCTGATGCTGAGGCAGGCTGAGGCTGAGGCTGAGGCTGATGCAGGCTGAGGCTGAGGCAGGCTGAGGCTGAGGCCGAGGCTGAAGGCAGACTGAGGCTGAGGCTGAAGCAGGCTGAGGCTGAGGCTGAGGCAGGCTGAGGCTGAGGCAGGCTGAGGCTGAGGCTGAGGCAGGTTGAGGCTGTGACTGCGACTGCCGTCGCCACTGCGACTGTCATCGCGAATGCGACTACGACTGCGAGAACAGGAGAATTCTACAACTGGATTCTCATGTGAATCTTAAGGGGAATGCTTCC